CCGCCACGCGGGGCTTTCGGGGGGCCCCGGTGCCGCTGTCCCCCCCACCCCCCGCTCCACACACACAGACTCCCGTATCTACCGGGCGCACAGGAGAACTTAAGTTGCAGCCCCTACCCGTCTGGGTAGTTCTTGAGCTCCGTGCATTAAGCGGAGCTGTAAATGGCTAGGTGTAAATTTGACGTTACTTCGTTAATTAAGGCATTAAAAATATAACTAGTCCGCTTAAAGCAGGGGAAGCCCGGCGTCATCTTAAAGCACAAACAAAGTGAGAGGGAAGCGAAAATAAAAAGCACTATAAGGGTAGGGTGGCCTCTTACGCATACCAATGGTTTTTGTCATTTATGGCTATGCAAGATTTATGACTTCATGCACCAAAGCTGTAAACAGAGCACTAAAACAGAAAACACTTGCTCCTTATGGCATAAGTGAGAAGGCACCACATGAAAGGGGAAACGGGCAGCGTAGGAGGAGAGAAGAGGCAAAAATCCCGCGTATGCATTTTGCTTCAAACAACCTCCTGAATGTTGCATCGGAAGAAAAGTCTTTTTAGTCAATAATCAACCCCACACTTTCTTCTGAAACTGCTGATCTGCCTTTCGCCCTGTCTCCCGACCAAATAGCGAGAGGCACCGCTGAGCCCGGACGGAGCCCTCCGGAATAAAGAGGAAAATGTGGAAGTGAGAACTTAGAACTCCAGAAACCTGCGGACGCTGCACGGTGCCGGTTTGGGGAGCGCTACCGAAAGCATGTTTGACCTTTTCCTATTAGAGTATTTAAACTTTGGAGCTGTCTCTAGCTGGGTATTCTGTCTCTATCTCCTTCATAACGAGCATTTTAGAGTATTTAAAAGTGGCGACAGGGAAATGGGATAGGAGGGGGGTCTTAAAAAAAGGGAAAAAAAAAAGAAAGAAAGAAAGAAAGGATTTGCAAGGGGCTTTAGTTGTGAGAGCTGAAGTGATTCATAGGAATAATGAAGTATTTCCGCCAATCGTTTTCCTGTCTTTAAGGAATATTTTGCGATATTTCGGCCACTGACTCCCCTTCCCCACGCCCCCTCTCTCCCCAAAGAGGTCATTTTAAACATGAGAAGATGATTTTTTATGTGACTTGTAATGGAGGGAGAAGTCGAGGTAATATGTCCCAACGCACAGATCCCCGCTGCCTTTTCCCCTCCGAGGCCGAGTATTTTCTCTCTTCTGCATTCCGCAGAGAGCGATAGCGCTCGGCTCCGAGAGGGACCGCGAGGCTCTGGGGCTGCTGCACAAGTCAGAAACGAGCTGCATTTTCCTCCCACAGGCTCACATTCTGCCGAGTCCTCCCCTTGCGCCGCGTTATCATTAGCTACCGAATAAAATAATGGCTATAAAGCGCTTTATCCTTGGAGCGCTCCGAAATGCGAACAGGCAGCACTATAATTCATGGCCGATTTGAGAAACCACCAATGGAAGAAATAGAGAGGAAGGGGCTCGCAGGGGAGTGGGACAAATTCTGGAAGCAGTGCCGAGCCGGGTCATTAGAGAGTTTGCCGGGGATATTAACTGCCTAAGAGACGGGATGAACTAACGAATATTGCAGACAGCAGCGCTTAAACTGAATTACTGCTTATATTCTCTAACACCAAAGACACGCGGCGGACACTTCGCAATTTGCTCAGCAGGCTGAGCTTATTTACACAAGCCGCCCGAAATATCCCTCTCCTACAAAACTCCCCTGGCTTTCTGTTGCGCTGGAGTAGGACTGTATTATTTATGTGTGTTTTAGCTGGGTCAAAATACATCCGAACGGGGTCATAAATCAGAGGAAACGCTGCCAAGCAATTGAGCTGCAATTAAAGCTTGCACTTTATTTTGGAGGCACATTTTGGTCCGCTTGAAAATATGGCAAAGCCAACCTTCCCTCGTAGATACGCTGCTGGGAGAGCAATAGCGCTGCTTCTGAGCACAAGAGAGACACCGTGCCTAATAAAGGACAACATGATTCGGGGTGGCGAGAAAAGGGGAAATCGCATTTTTGGGGGTCAATTCTGTTCTGCGGGCAGCTTAGAGAGCAAGAAAGCGAGAAACTGGCACTTCTATTTCTGCCCTACCGAATGGCCGCCAAAGGTTTCAAGGGGAAATACACGATTTTTGTTTGTTTGTTAGTTTTCAGGCGGCGTTTTGTTTCTAATCGTTCATTTTCCTTCCTCTCGCTCACCCCAATCCCTCAGAAACTGAGTAAATTACCAGCACCCAGTAGCCGCGAACAAAATGGTACGACAGAGAAGAGGCGCTCACCAAACTGGGCGAAAAGAAAACCCTGAGCGCTGTGACCTTTCCCAAAGCCAGGACTCATCGAGAGATGTCCTTTTATATAACATTTCGCCCTCCTTGGATAACCATTTAATTCTCTCATATTCACCATTTGAAGTGTCTTCTTTGTATATAGTTATATTCACATATATTTATAGACATAAGCGCATATTCACATATTTATAAACATGCATACATATTATATATAAGACAATTCAGAGAAGAATTTAGAATTAGCGTATGCTCTCCCAGAAGATAAGCTCCACTCCTCCCCCTTTCCCTCTCGCCTTCCAGATCCTCATTCAGAGGGGAAAAAAAATCCCGTCTTGATTTATTGTTAGAAGCCGCGGCTCGATCTTGGTTCATCTTTTTCTCGCCGCGCACAAATAAAGACGAGCGTGTGGCTCGCTGGGGAAGGGGCAGCTTTGCCAGAGAGCAGGGCGCTCCAGCAGCCCTCCGTGCACGGGAAACAAAGTACCACTAAAGCATCATAAATAAAATGGCAGCACAATTGCATACTCATCGATTTACAGAGCGGCAAATACACATAAAACAACAACCGCCGCCGCACACCCGAGCACGACCCCGGCCGAGGAGAATCCCCCCTCCCCGCACGCACCGTTTTCGCCACCCCCCCCCAAATACATGCGAAAACAAACAAACACCCAAGCATAAAAATAAAAAAAAAAAAAATAATAAAAATAAACAAAAGAATAAAGAAGCTTCCCATCTCTCGCCGATCATAAATAATGATAACATGGCAGCAGAGGGGATGGAGCGGAGGCAGCTGGCCATCAAATGAGGTGGGGGGATCTCTACGGAGAAAAATAAATAAAGAAGCGAACTCTGCCCGGTCTGCTCGCTGCGAGGAGAGAGCGGAGTATTTACCCCAGCAATGTGAAACAAAGGGGGAAGCAGCCTGGCTGCGGGGCACCCGCACCCGCACGCACCCGCTCCAGCCTCTGCCACTGACCTTTGCCTCGAACAGCAATAACTCACCACGTAAATGAACAATCAACGGAAATACCTTAAAATAAAATCCATCCTTTCTAACGAAGCATTTCGTCCTCTCGGCTCGACAATAATCTTTCCATAAGGAATGAAAGCTGTCAGCGAAATGGCCAGCTCTTGCGGGTACGGTGATGGGGGCAGGAAAAAAAAATAATAGAAAGCAGTGCTTGCTCTGAACAGAAACTGGAAAAGCGTAATCGCAGACGGAGCCAGACCGGGTCTCCACTCCAAATGCCACAATAATGCGCTGTATTATGTGCTCACGTGGTCATACGTCAACTTAAATCCTTTTATTTGAAATAGGGAATCATTGAAGGAACAGGGTTTCTTAGAGCGAGCCTTTGCTTTTAAAGCCTTAACCCAATATGTTAAAGAAGAGTTTTAGGAGATGGGGGTGGAATCAAGAGATGGAGATGATGACTGGGGGGGGGGCGGAATTCTCCTTCCTCCCACGCTAACACTTCTTTACACAAAGCCCACTCTAAGGTAAGAGCAATTCTTTTCATAATACGGGCTCGCCCTGCACTTTGATACTTAGCCTAATTAACCGGCATTTGTTCTGTAGGCCCCGCCACCCTGCTCCATGCTGCTCGTCCTCTGCAACCCGCGAGGAAAGCCCAAATCTTAAAGCTGTTGTTTCCAGCCCTCTTCCAAAGTCTCCCCCTCACGCCCAGCCTTCCCTACCCTGCCATTGTACAAGGCTTGCTCTACTCCCACACGCTACATCAGGGCTCCTGTAGAAACTAAAAAGACCTATAATTACCTGACAAAGGCAAAAAAAGAGTCTCGTCTAAGAGGCTAGTTGGTTTTTGTCCTTGTAACACACTGTGAAGAATACACCTTCCTTCACTGGCGTGCCTCTGAATTTTGCAAAACCTTTGGGGACCTTGCTGTTAAACCTGTGCTTACGCATTTCCTATACATCTCGTTTGAGTGATGCACAAAATTATAGGTTTGTAACGATGAAAAAAAAAAAGGAGGGGGGGAGGGGGAGGTCTCTGCCTAAGGGGTAAAATAATAATAATAAAAAAAGCCCTATTCAGCCCCTGAACCAGCCTATCAAGTGAACCAGCTTCGCCTGTGTGCGAACATCCTACGTCTTCCCCTCAAGAGTGTTTAACTTTTGCTGCTGACACAATAAGCTAAGTAAACAAAAGAAACACTAAACTTGCACAGTCCCTTTTTTTTTGGGGGGGGGGGGAGAAAAGCAGATAGTCAAAGCTCTTAACATGTTCCTACTTCAGTCCTGCGACTCCAGCGTTTTGCATGATGATGTGTATCCCCTTACCTGAATCTTTGCACCATCCCCACGAATTCGGAGGAAAGTTTAATCTAAAGGCCTATCCCCTTCTGCAGTTTCACCTGCACCTTGCTGAGCAGAATGCGAATTGTGTTTTAAAGGTGATTTATTCCTGCCTTACATACTCCCTTGGACTGGGGAAGTGGGCCACTGGTATTTAAGCCGGTCAGTAACAGTGTATATTAGTGGACACTGCAGAAAAGTCAGCGTGACATTACAACTAAAGAAGAATTTGCAATTTTTCATATTGAAGTGATGAAAAGAGTAGCTGGGTGCACACATATTATCCCTCACTAAGAAGTGGAATAAAGAAGTATATACCTTTGAGAAATAGAGAGTATTATCCACACATGACATCTCCAAGTCCCTGTCTAACAGCAAAACTTATAACTCAGTAGTCCTCACAGTAAGTGTAAACCAAGACTGATATTTACTCGTGGTGGGTTCAGGGCTCTTTTAAATGCATTGGGCTTAGAGTCCATAAAAGAAGCACGCAGAGAAGCTCTCCTGCAACAATGCAGCCGAAATTAATGGGGAATGGAACAGATGTTGAAAAAGCAGAGCAAGACTTTCTTGGGTCTCTTGTAAAAAGTTATCGACTGCTTTGCGTCAAAAGCAGAAAGATGGCTTTAGAACTTGCGGTCCCGAGCAAATAGAAACTACAAAAGCAATAAATCACAATCATAAGTCAGCTTAAATGCCTTAGCGCTAGCTATGGCTATTGGCTTCAAACCCCTGTTTCTATGAACATCTTTATTAGTATTAATGGTCAAGTTAATGCTAAAGCTACTGTTTAACAATTAACTTCTTGCATTTAGTTGGGAAACTAAGTAATTCTTAAGAAAAATAGCTTCTTGGCGTGTGAATACAGGGTGTGCTTTGGGGAGACAGGAGGGCGAGTCTTCGTAACTTCGCAGTGTCCCGGATCGCAGCTTAAACTCTTTCACTTGCATCGATTTTGGAAAAAGCTTTATTTGCTTTAGTAACATGATTATGAGTTTTCAGATACAAATTCAAATGATCTTGTAAGTAGCAGACGCTTGATTTCCCCTGCCCCACCATATATTGCTTTGTTCACTTTTCTGGACTTTCAATGTTGTGTTTTATTACTTCGATGATTTGGAAACCCGAAGCTCTGTTTCTAGGAGAAAATGTGGAGCTTATCAGTAGGCCTGCTACTGATTTTTCTGGCCTTTATACACATGGCTTCGAGCTGAGCTGAAATTCCAGCTCAGTAACAACAAACAGATTTGAGTTCATAACGTGCATTCATTAAGACAGTGCCTTTGTGCAAGCTCTGTCTTTAATAGCCACTCTTAACATTAATACTATTTAAAGTTACCTTTCATATAAATAGATTTGGAGCTTTTTATTGTCTTTCAAGTTTATGTTTATGTCACTTCTTAAGAGGTAATGCTATCACTCCCTTGTGGAGGAGAAACGGGAATCACCACACGATACAAGTATTTATTTCCTTGCTTCCTCGAAAGCATTGAAATCTGCCGGGATGCAGAGCTGTTTACCTACATCTGGGCGTCTGATAGAGATAAAGTTGGTCTTTGATCATTTCGAGCAGATAAAAAGAATACAGCTATCTACTGCAGCCTCGCGAAAGTACTTCTGCTGGGAAGGAGCTGAGTCTGCGAGCGATGGGTCATTTTAGGAATCCAAAATATCTCTGCACGAAATGTTGCAGATACATGCCACCAGAGGAAGGTCTGGATAGTCTTTCATATCATATATTCGCTTCTAATTCACCATCCTAAGAGTGAATAGACATTTGCAATGGCTTTTTTTTTCCTAGTTAAGATTTAAGCAGCCCATTAAGTCAACACAAAGAGCCCTTGTAGTCCTATAATTGATGGCTGCTTTTAAAAGGTAGTAAAATATACTAATTGTACATCAGCGTTCAAACACGAGCAGGTAAATCTAGCAGGGTTTTAAGCCACTTCTAGGCAAGCCTTCCTCCTCCAGGGCTGCTCGCAGCCGAGAGCTCCGCAAAACTGCTGCTGTCAGAGCAACTATCGCACCGCGGACTCCTACAGCTCCCCGTCATTAAACACCAAGCTACGTCCGGTGCTAACGAGGCCAAAGGAGACAAAAACCTGCAACTCGTTTAGGACCCCTTCTTTTGCATGTTCTCGGACCCCCAAAAAAAAAGGAAAGGAAAAAAAAAAAGTCATCTTTCCTACTATCACCGCATCAACGCGACATTTTTTTTCCCGCCGCAAAACCCGCTAAACAGGACGTGCTGCGGCGCTCCTCAAGCAGGAGACAAACAAACCGGCCCCGATAAAGCACTCAGCACTGAAATAGCTCCAGCTGCCTGTCTCTCGCCTTACTCGACTTTGATTTGGGAAGGAGCAATGGACAAAGAGACCCTCAGCCGCTTTCGCTCTCCAAGTGACTTTGCATCCTTCCTGTTCCCAATGCCTTTAAAAGGATCGCTCTTACCCAGGTCCCATATACTTCTTTGTCTGCCCGGACACGCGCATTCACCAGCCACAGAAGATGAATAGAGCCAATCCAGAAAAAAAAATCCAGCTAGGTTAAATATTTGTCACAACAACAACAACAAAGTCATTCCGACAGGTCCGACAGGCTTTTTTTTTTTTTTTTTCCTCCCCGCAGGTACTAGGCAAATGGCTCTCTTCGAGACGTCGGCACAAAAGTATTCGCGATAGACGGCTCGGTCCGCCGACCTCTTACCTCTGAAAACGGCCAAAAGTTGGATGGCACCGTCCCCGACTCCCGTGGGCCACGCAGCGCGGCAGTTTTCGGTGCCCGGGCTCTCTGTAAACAAGCAACAAACAGCGCCTTAAGGAGGAGTGCGGGGGGAGGTATCTGCTCGCTCACGGGCTGCGCCGGGCTCCGCGACTGCTGAGCGCGGTTCCCTACGCGGCACCCTCCGACGCCACGGGGAAGGAAGAGCACTGATATCTCAGAGTGAACGCGTGGGCTTTTTTTTTTTTTTTTTTTTTTTTCGTAGACAGCTATGCCTTCTGTCTCCAAGTGTTTGGAAATATTGTCATTCCAAACTCTTGTTACATGAATGTCTGCTTTATTTTCCTCTGGGAAACCTTTGTTTAGGATCATTTAATCAAGAACAGACATTAAACACAGCTCGTGGCGTTCATCGCTATTGAATAAAAAGCGGGAAGGGTCCTAGTTTAAAGGCAGGGCGCATTGTGGTCGGGCTCTCATTCAAACAGTTAGTGTGGGCCCGATCCCGGCACCACTAATGCAATGAGAGGGGATAATTGAATTCAATGCAAGCAGGATCGGGCTCCAAACTTAAAAAAAAAAAAGGAAGAAAACAGAAAGTAATTGCAAGAAAAGAAAAAAAAACTCTCCCCACCCCCCCAAATAAGCAACATTAGACAATCAATTCAGATAATAGTCAGATTATTCGGATGCCACTTACTGAATCACGTTTACATATGAATTTGTCAGATATAATGATGTACCCCCGTATTCATTCGCGCTAATAAAAGCCATCTAACGCATCTTAAAATTGTCAGTAAATGTAAACGCTAATAATTAAATAACACAGTTCTCGTGAAAGGATGTCGTCTGAGCCTTGGAAATATTAAGTCTGCCTTGGGAGAACTTTTAGAGTAGAGACTTTGCTTTGGTAATTTAGTAGTTCCATAATTACTCTAATAATTTTAAATTTGGTGCTGAACTCCAGTCTACATAAAAGCATGCAATAATAGCCCACTAAGCTGTTTATTGCCGTCTCATAAATTTTAGAGCGCTGACTGCTAAAATCTACTGACAAACACAAAAGAAAATTGAAAGTTCAGTCTGCGATCGTGGGAGCCCCAGCGCTGCTGCCTGGCGCTGTTCTTAGCTCTACCTTTCACTCCACCAGCCCCGAGCGGCCACGGAGGGAACCCCGTGGCATTTTAGGCTCAGGCTCGTAGCCTACCCATCCCGATCCCTAATCAATAGTCATGTTACAA